ATGGATTGAGCATTTTGGTTTGAGAGATGTACCACAAAAAGTGAATACCGGCGCAAACATGGTTCGTATACAGGGACATCTATTAGTGTAACGTAAAACTTCAATAGGAGAACTATAATAAACGGAACAAGAAGCAAAATTAAAAATAATTGTGCAATATGCGTAGTGAAATTGTAAATTTCTCGTTTTCTATTCCTTTTTGGAATTTCATTCGAAGTTGTTCCTAGTTATGAACTCAATCGAAACTCGAGACTCGAGATGCATGTATACAATTCCAGTTTCTGTTTTTCGAACTTGCCGGTGTTCTCGTGTTTCTAAATCGCAATTATAATAATTCGTGCAGTTCGAAGTTCGTCGCCCCCCTCGCGTCAAATGTCGGCATTTTAATTAACCGGATCACCCTCAAAAACCACCAGGGCCCGATGAATCGAAAAACTCACGCGCCGTACCCGACCGCAACACTTTTTCCATAATCCCGTTTAATGCCCCAAAACGAAATTTGAATAAAGCGAACGAACGCAAAGAGTAATTAGCATTTCCAATATTTCGCAAATTCCCCATATACCCACTGCCCGTACATAATTCTATTAAAAGTTGAGGATAATTTTCAAGTTTCTAGTTTTTAATTACGTCGTCGCGGCGCTCGCCGCATTCTCCCCCCAGATTCCTATCTTGAAGTCCAGCTGGGGTATCTATTCAGCGCGACGGTTGCCGTGGAAACGGCGCATTGTAACACACAGGGAGGACGAGAGAACAATATCTTGGAAATAACGCTAAATAATATTTATTGCCGTTGTGGAATTAATGCCGAGTAAAACTTGTTTACATATTAGCTAATGGGTAAATGATTATCTTATGTAAATGGCGGCTAAAGTGTTTATTAAATACAACCTGCGATTTACGGCCGTATTAATTGATGCTAACAGATGCCCGAATGTTTAATATAAGAAGGGGTAATCCGAAACGAAGGGATTAAAGATGTAGACACCAAAAACATTGAGTAATGCAAAGCGGATTAAACACTGTTAGTAGCAGAATAAATGGAGCAATTTAGAACTGTTTCATAAAGGATTAAATGTCGAAAGTGGAAATCTCCTCAAAATTCTGCATATTCCTCGCGTTTGCTGCTGTTTCGGTTGCCTTTAGCGAATTACAAAATTAGAGGTTGTGTTCGAGGATACTCTCGACTGATGGTTCTTGCGTCTCCTAAATGCAATTAAGATTGTAATTATAACGTCTGTTATGAACAGATCCTGAAGCCGCTGTGTGATGCATGCGAGCTTTCCAGTTATGTTCGATGTTTTAGTTCAGTGGATGTGACAAAACACTATTCCCAGAGACGCCGGTGCAATTAAAGTGCTTGATGAATAGTACAGTAGGACCGCACGTATTTTGATTCACCACAATTGGGTTGCTCCCACTTGAAATTGATCCTTTGTCGTACTAACCGCATTATTTTCCATTATATCATCTAACAAAGACGTCCATAACACAACAAAAAAACATTCCTCACAATTTGCTACAAAGCCTCTTTATTTGAAACTTTGCTGCCATTGTTAACTTCCAACCTGTTATAAAATTGTCACAAGGACGCTCCAACTTCAATGACGTTGTTAAATGATTCCTATCCTATACCCTTAATATCTGATTTTATTGATAAGTTCGCTATCAAACTGCCTTTCTCCCGATTTTTAATTAAATCCTGCGCATACATCCACGAGGAGAGAGCGGACGGGGAGTCATATTGTGACATAATAGTGCCATCGTGGCGCATACAATTGGAAACGGACTGTTCGAGAAAATTGAGTCGTGGTTTAAGATAAAGGACGAGTCAGCAAAATTGAATCTACTCAACTGACGACTGCCTGAAGCGATGTGTTTATATCTCCTTGCATTTCTAACAGGGCGGTATTTAAAGAAAAATTTGTTTTGGTCATATTGACCAAACCATTTTTAAATACACAATTTGTGTCGGGAGAACATAAGGCGCAAAGATGTTATGAAAAAGATTGGTATCAGGAGAGCCTGAAAAATGACAAGTGTGGTGACACACCCCTACGGTTAGGCAACACACCTTACAGCTGAAAGAATGGACTATGGAACAAGTATGAATTGTGTACAACTCTTGCGCAGATAAAGCGCTTTTTTTTAAACCGAAATAGCTTAGGAAATTGTTGGTTTATAAGGGGAGGAGGCACTTTACACATAAACATTTAAAGACCGCCTGGCATACATACAAAAGCCTTCGACACTTCATTTTGCAGACATTTGCACTGAAAGCTTCGACTTCACCAAAAGATATGTCTCGTCTAGTCGATTCATTTTGCCTGTGAGAGTACTTTCCTCCGACAAACCGTTTTCGAGACATTCGCTCTTAAAGTTTTGAAATCAACCATCACCCTTTGTGAGTACCCTCTTCCGACAATCCGTTCTGAAGATATAAGGGAATATATCCGATCACGATAAGGGTTCGAGGAGGAGGACTATGGTTGATAGAAATTAATTCCTTTCGTTGAATCCTTTTATTAGAGTACCATGAAGGATAAAACCAGATCCACTGCCCACCCCCTCCAAACCCTCTTTTTATAAGGAATGCGTATGCAAAATCTGAGACCAATTGGTTATCGTATGTAAAAGTTATGCACGTTTAACTTTCAAAAACAGCATCTCAGAAATTATCAGGCCCCCCCCCCCCCAAGACATTTTATTTGGATTCAGCGCCTACAGTAATGTTGGGTCACCATGTATGTGCGAATTTCAATTCAATTTATTGCATAATCGCTTATTAATTCGTTCATTTTATTGTTCAGATGCAACTCCGTGAATTCTGTTACTAAGGTGTCTCATACTATCTCTGGTTATTACGATAAGAGTGTTAAGGCTGCGTGAGCTAAATAAATTTGTAGATAAGCGGGTTTCGGCGATAAAAAAACACAGAGGTTATATTCGACGACGCACTCATTTTAATAAGAAGGGGGAGGTGGTTCGGAAAGTTGAAAAGAAATAGAAGTTGTTTTAAATAGAAGAGACGCACGTTAATAATTGCTTTTTTGATGGTCGAGGCTTTTGGTGTATTTCCATCATCAAAGAGCCAAGAATCAGTGATTGAAACGAACCTAGTGTCATCTAAATCGATATTCAAGTGTAATTAAAGTAGAAACGTGAAGTCTCGGAAGCAACATCCGTTGGTTTTTGTATGTGATTTTTCATTAGTAAAAGACAATCGCAATTGACCGGATATTTTCGATTATTCGCACGTTAAGGTATTTAAGATTACTTTAATTAATTGTTTCAATCGATCGCTTGTTTGTAATGCACAGCCCTTTATATTATTTTATTAAGTATTATTTGTGTATTTACGTGGAAGTAAATTATCAGTGCTCTGTATAGTCCGTTGCGGAAGTACCTCATACAGTTCCGATTTTCATTGTATCTGTTTTCTTGTGTCAATTGCATCTCGTACCCGATGCCGGAGGATGCGCAAGCAGTACAAAAAGGGAGGTCCTCTAATTAACACATCTTCGGCTTAGTATGTGGATTTGTTTGTGTGATAATCGACTTACCTTGAATACTGCTTGTATCATCATCTGAACCTGCCATTTTTATGGGTTTATCTGCTATCGTGCTACAGTGATTTAAAATTGGCGCAAAACTCCTGACCTTTTGACACGAAAGGTAAATAGTTCTGCTTGTAATCAACAGAACACAAAAAGTCGCATTTAGACCTGCTGTGTATGCAGCTTAAAATATTTGATAAAACCAAATTAATCCAAAATGTCAGAAAGTGTAGGTAACGGATATGCATCCTATATATTTTGTGAAGCTGCGTGGTGAATTAGCATCCGCACATGATGTAGACTCAACTCCTTTCTGGTTGGAGTGATCGACATAAACAAACATGCATTTTTGTCTTGATTTTTCTCCTGTCTTCGCCAGCTTTTCCTAATTTAGAGCGATTTATAATGTTTCTTTAAAATACAGCTGAATTCAGTGGTTATCAATAGCACTATCCTTGCATTTAACTTAATTCTGATATTTCATGAAGTCGACTCTTCCCGCCTTCCACAAAACTAGCACGTCACACGAAGATGCATATCCGTCTCCTTTTATATCTGACACTTTGGTTTATGGTCCAAAACTTAACAGTTCCACCAATCAATTTCGCTGCATACAGTCAGGGTGTTCATACTAAGAAATACTCACACCAAAAGCGATCTTCACCCTGGGCCAACATTTGCGTTTCTTCCTTGATTTTATTCGCAGTAACCATAATAATAGATAAAATAAAAGAATATTTGGGTCTATTTAGTCGGTAGTGGATATGATAAAGACGATCCATGCAAAAACGATAACTATTGCAAAATATGCAATTGGAAGCTTCATAAATGTGCTACAAGCAAATAGTCAGTGTATGTAAAAAAGCGGCAGTTGCGATCCATAAAAAATGCGACGAGCAACCATTCCCCATTAGGGGACGATGGTAGATGCTACTAAATCGCAGTCGACTAAAAAAACTGCAATCTCGGGTGCGACTGGCAACACTTCCCCGATACGATCTAATGGTATCTAATATAATAAATCGGCGGTCGATAGAAAATAGGCGGCCCGTGAAAGAGAGACTGGTGCTGCGAAAAATCTGATTCATGGTACATGCGACAAACAACCTTCCCACAGTACCGTCTAAAAATTGGTCGATGATAAATGGGCGGTTGATACAAAATAGGAGGTCCATGCAAAAGTGTTGCGAAAAATGTGATCAGAAGATGAAACGAATCAGGCGGCCCCTGCGGAAGCGGTGGATATTGCAACAATGCGCAGTCTCTTCCATAGAGGAAGATGTGACAAACAACTCTTCCTCATTCCGAAGGCTGTCATCATCATTATAAGTTCATATATTCAATAATTGAGATTGATCGATTTCCCCCGTATGCTAACGGCTCAAAACCGTTACTTTGTCTTAGAAACCATTTATGGTTAGGCGTTAGGTCTACAAAGTATAGTCAAAATGAGTCCAGAGTAGTCCTACCTGTATGTGTCCTTTGGTGTGCTTTAAGATGCGAACTTTTCGTGTAGACCTTTTTACATCCGAGAAATTGGCACTTGTGTATCCTCCTTTTCGAGTCGGGGGAATGGTCGATTCTTGCGTGTTTCGCGCCCGTCGGCGCCGCCGGCGATGCGGGCGACGGTGCCGCCGCCCGAGGTACCACTGAAATGTATCTGGTAAGTCCCGATGCACGTACTCGCACAATCGTATTTCGTGGAACACCCCCCATTCGTAAAACGTCCAGTTCGCCCGCACTCGAACTACCGTTGCTATGGCCCTGCCCGGATTCCGGACTCGAAGGTGGCGTTAGCGTTGTGGAATTCCTATCGACGAGCCTTAACTGTAACGGATCCGCGGTATCGACCCTAACCCTCTCCTCGTAGGTGTCCTCATCGTCCTCCTCGTCGTCTACCGGTTCTTGCTTAACTAACACAGCGCACGATAACGTACTGTCCCACGAATACGTCGAACTTGCCGAACTTGTACTTAACGAGTCCAAATGCCTTTCGCCAAAGTCCTCCAAACACTCCACCTCCATTTTTAACCACGTCGCGTCGACATCTGGAAGCTTCTTGAGGGATGGGTGCATCTTCGGTTCGTCCTTGAGATATCGCTCCATTTCGTAGCACGTCTGAAATTGAAAAAGTCCGATTAGACGGTAAATCGAAAGGGATTAAGATGATAAAATCACGTCCCTTATCAATGACACAATTTCGGCGAAATAATCGGATCGGGGTAAATAAGCAAACGTCGAAAGTTCCCCCGAGAGGTTTGTTAATGGGCTAATATCCGGCCTCGCGACATATCCAATTGTCTTATCACTGTCTGTCCCGAAACTTGGGGTCGCTCTTAGAAATTTTCGACAAGAGCTTAATTAAGACTCAGAGACGGATCGTCTCATCAACATGACGAAAGTTATAATAACCAAAATCGCAAAGTTAACCATAAACCAATAAACCAACATAATACGCTCTTAAAACAAACGGCTAAGAAGTAAAAGCGTGCCTTATCGGTGTCGCGGTGAGCCACCCCAAGAAACTTTGTAATATAATGTTATAAACTTATACGGTTTCGGAAATCTTCGCCGAACGTTTACTATTTTAGAATATACGCCGAGCCGTGGCGAGACGATCGACAAAAATTTGGTTTATAAAATAATCCGGGTAAACACGGCGAAATGCGGCTCTTTACACTACTAGGCACGCACCTCGTATTAGGTATCTTTACGGTAAATTATCGGCCGGTTACTTTTTATGAAAAATGCGCAACTTGTATGAAACTCGATACAACCTTTGTATGGGAAAAGGGCGAAGTTTTATGCCGTTTAGAAAGATCGGAGGATTAGGGTGGAGGATTATGATATTGTAGTATACGTGAATCATTGACCAAACATGACACTTCGATTGCTGGATATAATTTAGAAAGGTACTCACATTTAATATATGTATAAGCCTATAAGGGCTGGTATAGGGACTGTTGCTCATCGATGGCTGACGATATTAGGGCACGTCATTAATTTATTGTTGTATTGCAGGCTTTTATGTGTACATTTCATCTTCGCATCCAAGCCTTGTCTTGATAAATTGTTGTTATACATATCCTACATATAATTGCATACTCGGTGTCAATATTGGAAGACCTAATTTTTAATCGGAAAACTACATTCCAGAAAACCCGTCTTTTTATTCTAAATAGCTTCTAGAATTACAAAGTGTCGCTGTCTACTGGTTTTAAAACCACCGTTTTTTTGTTATGATGCGGTGAACATTTTTTTGAAGTGACTACTTATTGCTCGGTATGACTGTACGTTTTGCACGGGAGTAAATTCATCTCAACTCATCGTATTTGAAATTGATTAATATACATATTTAAAGCGCATTTAATCGTAACGGAGTTAATAAAATGAGTACTGTTACGTATTAGTTTGTCGCATTTATAACAGTATAAGCCATGAAAAATAGGGAGGTTCCATAGATCGGTTGGTTAAGCCGCTATTTTTCGATTGCAACGGTCGATGACGCGGGTTCGAATCCAAGCACGGGCGCTTTTTACAAGGTGTTCATTAAATTGATGAAAAGTAACTAAGAAAGAATCGACACGCGGTTTAGCGGTAAGCGGAACTTTGAGGCGAGAGGAAAGCTTTTAACTTAAACCATAAGACGTAGTCACTTCTGTCGGAACTCACCAAGTGCCGCATGGTAATTTTTTAGAACAAATTCTTACTCAACCTCTTGCCGCAAATTTTATTCATTCGCGAAGAGTAAATTTGTATTTTTAATTATTGAAGCTTCAGAAACTTCAAATTTTCATGAAAGAGCAGAAGGTGGTTTCTTCCTCTTAACGCTAATCTGTATTCCATTGCTGTTCCTTCAGATCTCATTGACAACCTTGTTCCATTTTTGACATGATTTAACCCTTGTTCTTCACTTCCTGTTAGATCAACCCTCATTCCTTTTTCCTTCCATGGTTACCCCACGCCTGCTTTTTTGATACCTGGTTAACAAACATTTCTGTTGTACTTTCTTTAGGCTTCCTTTTTTACGGGTCCTTCCTCTCCTCTTCCTGGCCTGTTTTCTTCATATCTATTTCCTTCATGTTTGCCCTAAACCTCCTAATGCTGCGTTTACACTTCTCTAGCGCCTCCCGCTTAACGTCTTCAGGAACTCTTCTTTACTGATGCACGACCATTTCAAACTCCTTTTGTTTTTCATACAGTTTTTGCTATCGCCTCTTTCAAATTATTTTCTTCGTCATACGTCTTTTACACATTCTTCAATTTCAAAGTGTCTTCTCTCTAAGCTTTCCTAATTCCTTTTCTTCTTTCTCACACTCGTTCCCTACCTTCATGCGCCCTCCCGTCGCCGCACCTATTTCCTTTAAACATCGTTGCATCACTCCCTCTTCGTTGAACTTTGTTCTATGGTACATCGGTCATTTCTTCTTCAAGCTTCCTCTACGCCTTTTTTCTTCACGCCGCTTCGAGTCAATATTCATTTTTTCTGCATCCACACTTATTTTGCTCCTGCTTCTTTTCATCTTCAAGATGACGCGTCTTCTTCCTTGGAGCTGTTTTTCGTTTCTCTCTTTAACAGCTCCTTCAAGCCTTCTTCGTTTTCCTTTCATGTTTCTTCACTCCACACCTCTACGTTGCACATTAAAAAAATACGTTGCGAGTGCGTGCGTTGCGTATCATCTTATTGGTTTCAAAGACTCTGAAGGTTCCCCAAAATTACGATTTTTTGTGCTTTTTAAAATTGTCTGATTTTCTTCGAGTTTGATACCCTGAATGTTTAATCTGTATTTTTGTGAATGTTTAATTCTTTTCTTCGGATCTTTTTGAGGTTTAAATATTTCTTATTTTTCAATTCTTTGGATTTTTACGAATGTTCAAATTCACTTCGAACTTTTTGGTTTTTGGAATTTTGATAGATTCCCATTTTGCTCAATCTTTGTGATTTTTAAATTTTTCTAATTTTTTGATATTTCATGATTATTATGAATGTTCAGTTTTTTTTTCATTTAATGTGCTGAATTTTTCGAATTTGTTTCATTTTCCATTTTTTTGGATTTTCTGTATTTCTGTATTTTCTGTATGTCTGCGCACGTGATTCCTTTACAACTTCTCTCTTAACCTCTCTTCTCCGTACGCCCTTTTTCAGGACCCCTTCACACTTACTTACGACTTTTACACCTTTCTTCCTTTTGTTGTCTGTCGCTTCTTTTCTATAACATTGTTTCGCATTCGCTCACTAATCCCCAAACGATTGAACCTCCTTCCCCCTCGTCTTTTTAATGACCTCTCCTTTAAATCGCGTTCGCGTTTCTTTATATGCACCTTCTTGGCATCTTTTTTCGCCTTCCTCGCTACTCTTTTACTTTTATTTTGATCTTCTTTACACTTGCTTCGCGTCTCTCTTCTCTCCGTCATTTCTTCTTTTCCTTTCTTATTTTTTGATTCTTTAGATTTTTACGAGTGTTATTTTTAAATTTTACTAAATTTCTATTTTTTTTCTTAATTGCGGTGCTTTTTAAATTTTTCCGAATTTTATTTTCCTTGAATTATTATACATGTTCAGCTGTTTTCGTTTGATGTGTGTTGCTAACCGAATTTTCCTTTTTTAAATTTTTCCGTTTTTTTGCCCTTTATGAATGTTTAATTCTCTTCTTAGCCTACTTGTACTATATAGATTTTTCACGAATGATTTATGCTTCACACCCTCTTCCTTGGCCGTGAATTTCATCCCACCTCTCACCTTCACATCTCTTCCTTGTTCAAATTCACTTTTTCGAACTTTTCACTTTCTGAGATTCTGTGCTTTAATGTTCAGTGCTTTTTATTTTTTTGATTTTCTTTTTTTTTATATTTCATTTTCTTCTTGGAATTTGTATGCTTTTTGAATTATCCTTAGTATTGTAATTTTCATTTTTTGAATATGCACGGTAATTTTCGTCTTTTTCAATTTTTCCAATGCTTACTAAATTTCTTGAAGTTCTTCATTTTTTATAAATTTGGAATTTTCTTCGAAATGTGCTTTTTTAAATAAATTCCTTGAATTTTTTCAATTTTTTCAATTTGAATCGAACCAACGATATTGCGCGCAACTGACAGTTATTGTGGGGTAGCGACTTTTAGTTAGATCACATCTTCGAACATATATCACATATGTAAAGCTCACCAAAATCCTAATAAGCCTCTTCAGCCTCTATATTAAATCATACTTTGATTCTGTCTGTTTGCCCGGGACTCTTGACAGCTTGACACAATAAATTAGGAAAGAATTCGGTTTTTGATAATAGATCTGCAGATTGGATTCGCTCTTGGATGAACAAAATATTTCAAAATGATTATTTATGCCACCCTTCACACTCCCTTTGAACTTTTTCCCTACATATCCGCTTCATGTCGTCTTCCCATTCGTTTTCTGTCACTTTTTTTTCTTGACCGCCGTTCGCATCTTCATCTCAGCCAACTTTTGAACGTCCTTAATTCTCGCCCTTTCACTTTCACACTACCCTTCCTTTACGCCCACACCTGCTCTTTTCACGCCCTCTTCATGTCATCTCATAGTTGGGCGTTTCGTTACTAAGAAACCGTAATTTCTGAGTTTAAATATTTGTTCTAGGAGACCAGGGAGTGAGCTTTGCGTTTTTCATATTTTTAATTGTTTGTTTTGCCGCCAATAACGCACGTAAGTTTCGTATTGAATTTAACCGCCGTTTGCAACCGTTCCCGTAGAAATATATAAATTGTGTTTACAGCCGCCGAAAGCTCTCTTGGGTTTTAGGCCCGTTAATTACCCATTCATCGATTTTAATTTTCTAATGGTATATCCAGGATTAAACCGACAAGATCGTGCAGTTTAAGCAAAATATCAACGCGATAACAGATTACGCCGCTTGACCTCATACTCCAAGGAACACAAGGGCATAGCTGGACTGCCGAATTTAGAAATTTCATTCCAACTATTTGGATAACTATAGTTAACCGTAATTAGTTAAATGGAGTTGCAGAAAACAGCCTCCAATTAAATTGAGATTACATCCAATAGGTGGGGCCTTAAAAAACTGAAATTTTGACACCGGCCCCGTATTTTTAATGTCACGTAATTAATTAAAGAAGTAATTTTAGGA